TTAAAACAAAAAGTTACGAAGTTTATATTTCACTGCTGATCATATAGGAGTTCAATTTTATCTTCCAATATGTGATTTCGTCAAATATGAATAAATTTTAGTTAATAGCTAAACATTTATAAATTTTCAGTGTATTTGAATATGACACTGACTATTAAGTTCTGACCAGTAACAAAATGAAAAGTTTAACATATGATCCATTGTAAAGGGTGAGAGCATACTTGAGCGTGTTTACTCTGTGGGAATTGAATTAGTAACTGGTCTTTACAATCTCTCATATGGAAAATGATTCAAATGTTTGAACCAAAGAAACTCAGATTAGGATTTTCGTGACCTCATTGAGTACTTAGTGATCAATATTGAAAGCATTCTACTGTAACAATTTATACCAGCCTTATAGGTGAACGCTTTTAAGAAAAAGATGAATCATCATGGAAAAACTTATCACAAGGATTAATATAGCTCAAGCGACCTGCCCGATTCTTATTACTGAAAACTTTGAATCGATTTCAGCAGTAGAAGAATTCAGATATGTAGTAAAAACCTTAATGTATATTACCGTACGATTTTCTTCGGTTTAATATTTCTTATTCTGAGATACCACACACATTCAACTATTGACGTATTAAAAGAAATTAAGCACACACTATACATAGTTACACCGAATATGTATGAAGATATATGGTATAGAGATTTCAGTAATGTTTATTCATGACGTAGTTATTTTGAAAAAAAATAAATCCAGTTTCTACACTGTATTCCGTGCACTGTCTATATTTAATACTGGGAAACAAGAAATGTTTATTATTTTGCAAAAATAGTTGTGCGAATTCAGTCTAAATTAATCGATACATCTATCGAGCTTATACAGTCATAGGTGAATTTTTTAATGATTCATTTACCTGGGTATAGAATTGATTTATGTATTTGGTTAAATGTTAAGGATAGTGATTCTATGTTTGGCTAAACCAAAATAGATGGAAAAGCTTTTATCCTACCTCTTTGTGACTGAAAGTTGAACGCTGTAACCACGGAGACATATTTAATGATAGATTGTTTATATCGGAAACTAATATTAACTGGAGGAACCAGTAAAGAACAAAGAATACTAGAAGACTGCATCGTTAAATCTGGAACAATTTATTCTTACGATAATGCATTAAAATTGAGTGATATAAATTTTCAACGATGGTTGATTGATGATAACGCTTAATATTTTGCCAGTCACATTTGTGGTTACCCGCTTCACTTCAAGCATAACAGAAGTTCACTATTTATAACTTCATTTGTGAAATTTTAATTTAAGTTTTGAAGTGGCTCAATTACTGTCATAAACCCTAAACCAATAATATTAATCTTGTCCTCACTAGAGATTTAAGTTAATTTTCAATAAAACATTGAATTGATATAATTAGGTCTTTAATCTAAACCTGGTTCCTAATAATTATAAACTAAGTTCATAAGTTAACAGAGTAAATATTACCATAATTATCAGTCAATTAGTCATAAGCAACGTAGAATATGACGTATATGTGCAACAATTCAAGTTGCCACACAATATTAGCAAAAAGTTATGAAAATTTCCAAGACAATTCGCCAAATTATTATAAGTAGTCACAATATTAATGATAGTAGAAAAGATTAGATATAAAATATATAATTCGAGAAGTCAGACTAAATTTGAGAAACAAATGCTGCAATATAACTTTCCAACTCAAGGTTTAAGGAACTACAAAGAACGAATACAACTGACATAACGTCTCCAACTATTGGTTACAAAAATCATTCGGATACAGACCAAGTGGGCAGCATCTACTAATATGGTTCAGTTCAACAGTCAGCGACTTCAAATATTGATGACATACTTTAATTTGGTCGTATCTGGCTTTCTTAGATCTACTCCTACGCTTGCAAGTACCACTACTCGAGGTTAGTTGTGATTTGGAAATGTATTTTTATGAATATCAAATTCATGGAAACTTGATGTCATAATAAAGATGAGAACCTCTTCTATATCATCTTGATTTCTAGAACAATTTTCATATAAGTACTTATAAGAATGGATAATATTATTGTTGATTGATTAATAAATAAATTGTATTTCTTCCTTAAAATGCTTCTTCAATCATTAAATAGTTCATAAGCACAAAATAACAGCTTAACATATTCTACTTATAATTTGAAAGTAAGATATAACAAATGCAGTTTTATTTATCAAATAAACAAACAAAAATATGAACAACCAATAAAAAAATTAGATTCATTCAAATCATGAATGATACCCACATAGAAACTAATTTAAGATAATAATATTTAGTAATAACAAGTTAAAAGTATCTTTATTTAGTTGATTAGTTGAATAGAGTTAAATATTCCATATGTTACCAAGTCATTAAAATACAGTTTCAAATTACATTCGAACTAGTAACCAAACTCTCTCTCTTTCTCTCTCTTTTACTTTCGAATCTAAATAGAGTTAAGTTGTTCAAGAGCATGTGGTTCAACCAAACACTAGTGTAAAAACCATTTAAACCATTTAATCATGTGAATAAATTTGTAATAATAAATAAATTGAATAGATTTGTGGTTACTAGTGAAATCAGTTACATATATCTGAATCTCAGTATTTATTCTCACACCGGGACTTGAAGTCAGTAGATTTTGCTTTGAACTTTCATTGCAATATTCAGTAAACTACTGAATCCAGATAGTCACTAAATTGTATAACAGGTATGATATTGATATCGTTATTTCCAGGGATTTAAATTATCCCGTTGTTAATAAACTTTCTAAACTTTCAATCATTGTCTTTTCTTCTTTTAGGGATTTAAGTTTAGGAGGTTTCTTGGGGGAGTGGGAAGTGGTTAAAAGTCTAAATCAAACGTTCAAGTACCTGATACATTAAATTTCAGTTTATTTATGCATATTCATTTTGCCTTTACAATTATTTCGAATTCCACGTGAGGGATTGTGGATGGACACTGCTGAGGAGTCCCGTATTAGTGCTTCCAGGTCTTCAATAGCGGTCTAACATTGTTCAATTCATGATATTAATCTAAACTTTAAAAACTTCACGACCCTATACTGATAAAATATCTAGTTGTCCAGTGAATTTATCCCTCTAGACATTTGTAAAACTGTCAATGGATCTCTAGTATTGATATCAGTTAGTGGTGAAAGTCGTTTTCAAACTTTGAAAATCACTTCTCAGATAATTACAATAGTGATAAGAAGGACATTGGTGATCAATGATTGTTTCTAAGGTTCTGATAGGAAGAATTCACGATTGCAGTCAACTAAGTGAGACAATCGCTCACATATGAGATTGTCGAAGATTGTTCTTTATAATAAATTGACTAAACTGTGAAAAAAATAGACAGTTATGGTTTCGTCTCAAAGTATCATGATCTTCAATAAAAACCTGAATGGTTTAGTCTTGATTTTATTCAACTGAATTCATGAATACTCGGTGGTAAAAATTACTCAAAACTACAAAGAAATACTTGTCCAGTAACCTCTTATTTTCAATAATTGTCTAGTTGATATCGTTAGTTCATGATAAAAACCATCTATAAACAGCTTATCTACATAATCTTATCATGACTAATTAACTGTCTTATAAGGCAATAATTATATCAAAAGTTATATCCTATTCTGAAAAGATATAATTTAAACAAATGACCATGACTGTGAACCATGTGGATAATCAAAAAATCTTATGACAAAGTAACACTGTAGACATTTATAGTTATTCAGCTCGAAACCAATTGTTACCGACATTGGGCAACTGGGTATAATCACTAACCAACACACATGAAACCAGGCACATCAAATAAATGAGTTTAATAAAATTTATTTATCTATTTGTTCTCAATTTATAAAAGATGTAGACTTGTGAGTTTTTAATTTTCTCAAACATTTACCCATAGAACCATTGTGAATTGGATATTATAATATTTCCAAAAGATGGATAATTTTTAATTATACCTTAGTATTTAGTAATAACCTATTATCTATCATAAACCTTGTCCACTAAATAATTTTGTAGACAACAATAATATATCAGAAGGGTTTTTGTGGATTTAATGGTAATTTCAATAGTTGAGATCATGAGTCAATTGAAGCTAGAACACTATGGAAAACCTGGAAGTAATAGACCGCCGTTTCGTCCTATCGTGGGTTTCCTCGGCAGTGTGCATCTACGGGCCCGCCTAGCGAGCTTCGAACTCAGGACCTATTAGTCTCACGCGCGAGCACTTAACCAGTAGACCACTGAGTCGGCATCCAACGCTGTTAATATCTAACTTTAACCAATCCACGCAATAATAATATACTCTTACTACTTATCATCTATAATTTCACGATTCCATAACGTAGTGTATGAAAACTTAGATGAAATAAACCAATTTATTGTTTTATGCTAAATCAAACAGTAGCTTTGTAAAATATCAAAATCATATATTCAATATATCATCTGCATATTTTCTGTCAGTCGTCCTCTACACACTTCATTATTCTTCCAATATTGTTGTTGTTCTGACTGCTCTCGATTTTCCTTCCTTTTCTCTTTGTTTTATTCCTCTACTAGTAACCATTCTACTTCCGATTCCTGTTACATACTACTTATATCTGTCTGTATGAGTAGCATACACCACAATATGTACATATTTATATAAGTAACTTATTTAAAAATATACCTATATTGTTTAACCATTTCAAACAATAAACTAAACTATTTACATTATTTTACAGTGAATCATAACCAAATTCATTTATTTAATTCAAATAACCAATTACAATGAGTTTGATGCTCATTTATTCCAGTATCCTAATTCATAAATGATAACTTATGGATGATATTTCAAAGTAATTATCCCCATAGTTACTGAATAAGAAATATAAATTAATAGTGGTATTATAACAAGACATATATCTTGACAATCAATTCATGTTACATCTAAAAACAAAACAAAAAAGCTATACGGTCTACATAAACTTACTTCAGGTGTACCATATTTTCTTCGTACTGGTGGTGTATAATAAGATGAATATGGATTAGTTCCACTTACAGTACTACTATTACTATTATTATTACTGATATTACTACTATTAGTAGTATTTAATGAGGTTGATGTTGTTGATAAATTATTACCACTTGTAGAATTTCGATATCTTGAACTGCTACGTCTTAATCCACTTATTCCAGAATAATAATTTGTACTATTACTAGGTGAATTATATATTGAACTTGATGAATTAAGATGTGATGTTGCATTGGTTGAAGATGATGATGGTGATGAAGATGTTGATGATAAACCACTAAGATAAGTACCAAGAGGACCACCGTAAAGCATGTTCATTAATTTTTATATATGTAAGATAGAATAATATTTTTACAATTTCAAAATTTATACAAATAAGAAAGACGGATAAATTTAATGTTTGATAGATTTAAGAAAAGAAAAGAAAAAGATGGTTGATTTTATCAAAAGTAAATTAAACTATTGTAAATATCCATAAGAATTTACTTTTAATTAATCATTGTTAAGTAAATAGTTTACTGAAGGATAAATTAACGATGATTAAGGTTGGATATTACTGATGATGTAATAGGTGAATGTAACTACAGTAGATACAGTATCTATGTTCTCTACGCATGCATATATATATATATATATATATATATATATATATATATATACGTTTTTCTTACGGACAAATAGTTGTAGGTGTATGTACAGAGATTTTTCTTATTGGCCAACAAATGCACCTAGATTAGTAAACGATCAATAGTTTATCTCACAATCCATTCTATTTTTATGATAGGTAAATGATACAATTTATTTAATGTAATCTTTCTTTTTTCCAAGGACAAATCATAGTGAATTCACTTAAAGACACACTAAATCACAAACAATAAAGTATATATATATATATATATATATATATATATATATATATATATATATATATATATATATATATATATATATATATTAAACTAAAATAGATTGTTATGCAGACAGTTAAGCTATAATAATAACATTTAAGGGATAACAATTATAGTTTATACAATAGGATAGAGGATTCAGTAGTCAGAACTAGATAATAAAAAAAACGCATCATATTAGTCTTTAGATGACCCAGTTTTTCAATAAAATTAGTTACATCTTTACATACCATCAAAATGGTTTTGGATAGTAACCAGCTTTTATGTCTATACATATATATACAAAATGTGAAATAGTCTGCACACTAACACTGATAGATTCTTATAAATAATCGATTGGACTGTTCTTTTAATTTTATCGGAATGGGGATTTGTAGAGATCGTAGTGATTTTAATATTTGAATTCATGAGTCGATGTAAGTTAGAACACCATTGAAAATCTGGAAACATTGGATGGCCGTCTCGTCCTAGTATAGAACTCCTCAGCAGTGCGCATCCATGATCCTTCATGGGAGACTCGAACCCAAGACCTTAAGTCTCGCTCGCGAACGCTTAACATCTAGACTACTGAACAAGCATCCAACGGTGTTAATTTTTAAATGTAATCGATCCATGATCTTGAGAAACTCTTCATCCATTATCTGAAGTGGATAACTGTCTCCACCCGACACAAGTTGAACTTGACTGATCACTGCTTCTCACTAGTATTCTAGGAGATACATCTTGAAGCCAGTCACTAGGGAGCACATGATTATTATCAGAATGGAGATAATATGATAAAAAAGTATTTAAAAGAAGGATCATCCACAAATATTCCAGTTACTTTGTAAGAAGCAATAAGTCTGTTAACTTAGTGCTTTTTTTATAAATAAAGATCATTTGAAATATCTTTGCTATCTAGAAAAGTATCTTATACATTAGTTATAAAGAGTAAAAGATAGCTTAATGGATCTCTGCTTCAATGTACCTGACTATACACCTATATGTGAGATTGTTCTCATTGATTTTTACAAGATACACTGATCACCTTCAGGTTTAATCATTTCTCTAAGATGTATTCATCTGCTTTGTAAATCTTTATAATAAGATAATTGAAATATTATATTTAACTTGGAAATTTCAACATCATATAATTAATCAAATAAATTTTACCACTGTGGGAGAATTCAGGGTTATTCAGCGAAGAAAGTTTTCTTTCCGGTATTACTCTTTACTAACACTGTATTTATGGTTAACTTTTAAAAATTATAATTTTATCAGTCAAGTCATTCTTACAAATTTGTTTGATTCTCGTGGATATAAAATGAATCAAGTTTCTATTTCGATTCGTTAGAATCCAAATTGAAAATTGGTGCACTGGCCATTTGATGTTGTGGATTAATAGGGACATATATGATACATTTATTTATTATTCGTTTATTTGAACACAAATATTGGTACAAAGGGGCACCAAATATATATGCGCCACACAAGTCACTTAATTAGTGTGTGGGCTGTGATACTCCCCGAGTGCTCAAACAGAACATTTCTGGCAGTAGCTGTATACACATGGCCATGTTAGAGCATTTCGAGAGAGATAGCAGACTCTCCTCACCCTCGACCGTATCAGGGCATGTGGGGGCACATACTTATCAATAACAGCCATTCATCTGTTTTCGTTGACAGAAATCTTAAACTGTAACAATAAAATGCAAAGAATCTCTAGAATACCAAGAAAGATCTTCATAAACATTTACTTTAGAGAAGATGCTTCAGCAGAGATTGTAAAAGTAGACTTTCTATGTCTTTAGGAAAAACATTCTATTTGTCTTAAACCTCTCATTGTTTTATCAAGTCGGTCATGATTATGTGAAGGACAAACTTCCTCTTTGAACCATATCAGTGCACACCAGTCAGTTTACTTACTTTTATGACACAGGCTTTATTGATTACACAAAGCAAGCTCTTTCGAAACAACTCTCCTACTTAACTTTGAAAATGACTACACAAATCTACCAAGCAGCATAAGGAACATCTTGTATATTCTGGTTACTTTGTTTCACAAGAATCCTTTTTTATTCAAAACCATCCGTATAATAAAAAGAATTGATTCTAAAGAAATACAAGTTAAAAACTTATGTTCTACGAAGGTTTATGTACATAAGCAACATATTCATTTTAACATTCTATCTTATTTTTTATCTTCCATCCTTATTAATCCATCATTTTCCCCTACTTCTAATTATTTCACAATTATCAAATATATTATTATTAGTGACTTTATTCAGTATTATATTTTTGGTACAATATAGAATTCTCAGCGCAAAGTATTTCAACAAGTTTCTTTTTCTCTTATTTCTTGGTCGAGTGGTTGCCAGTTAGATGTTAGCAGTTGAGGAATCGACATCAGATTAATGTGTATTCTTTTCGATGTATATTGCCAGCAACCACAATGTCTTTGATTGTTCTCTTTCCTAACTTGTAAAGGGATATGTCGTAAACATTTCATAAACGCACCTGAATATAAATGATTAATGGACATAATGATACGTTAAAACAAACAAGGAAACAGATAACTTGTTAAAATATCCAGATAGCAGAATCAGGTAGCTCAGATATTCAAACGGGCCACCGTCTAATAATTCATTATTTTGTTTATCATATTCATCAAGCGGATAATTACTACTGCATCCTCTCACTCCAATATTTGATATTTACAAACAATTCATGATGTAATAGAATTCCTTTTCAAGTGACTACTGGCTATAATATTGTTTTTTTTTTAATTTCGGAAATTGTTGATGCAGCATACCCCTGTTTTATGACAGATTACAGTACGTAGAAGTTAATTATAAATATGATTCTATAAATTAAGTAGATGGTATTGTCGAAAAAGTTTTCTTCATAGAAATACTTTAATACTTAAATATATTATTATTATTAATGGCTTTATTCAATATTATATTTTGGTACAATATAGAATTTTCAGCACAAGGTATTTCAACAAGCTTCTTTCACAAAAAAAAACAACAATACCAAAAAAGAAAGGAAAAGGGTTGAAAAAAACTGTACAACTTTCCAAACTAGAGACATGTTAGGAATGCAGGTTAATGACTAGGTTAATTCTAACAACCTGTTCGTCACAAAGTATATTTGCTAGGTAAGGTATTATAGAACTTTTATACTTTTGCTTGCGTGCATGGATTTTAATGTAATTACGTCTCGTTCTACCAGAAGATATACAAGGAGAAAGATATGAGTAAAGGGGATGGTTAGTATCCGATATGATAACACCTGTCAGTAGTTTGTAAGACTTTGGATGTCTATCCACAACCATATTATTTATGATTTCCAAAGATTCACCACACACCTTGTTAACTGCCTTCAGCACTCTTCACAATAAAGTATGCTTGTTTAAATCTTATCATCATAAATGTGGATCATATTGTCAATCTACACAAAAACTGATATTTACTTATTTCTAAATGTAGATAAATACATTTATTACATGTAGCATTCATCCCAAGTTAAGTTTATTTAAAGTTATTACTGAAAATCAAAAAGAACTGAACAATTATATCATTCTAGCACTGAATTTATCAAAAGTATGCACCTACCAACCCACCAAGGATTGACCCCAGGATCTCTAGGTCTCATGGAGAATGCTTAACCCCAAATGAGATTATTCTATGTAAAATTGCAAGAATAATTTTAATTAATCTGCACAAAATCTCTTTAGATATATCAATTAAGCAAGAAGCATTAAAAAGCCTTATGAATTAGATCAAACTCATAGTAGAAACTGTATTGTGTGATACAATAGTTGAACAAATAAAGTGATATCACCTATCTTTTCATAAATGTTGACTAGTCATGAATAATATACATATTGAGCATTATTTCCCTATTTAGTAAAACCGATAAGTAGAGATGTCCTTTTTTTTAAAAAATGTTAGCTATTATCTTCTAACGTAACTGTAAAAAGTTAAGTAAGATAGATTTTCCATATATTGTAATATAATTCGATTCTAAACAGTTCAAGTGGATAGTTGTACAAAACCATAGCCCCCGAATGCCGTGGTACGGTCGAGATTAGGGAGAGTCATCCCTTTCTCTCTCTCAAAATGATTTCACATGGCCACGTGAATACAGCAACTGCCGGAAAAGTCCTACTCACTGACTTCTCGTGGTGACTGCGTTGTTTACGAAATTGAGAGGACGAAAAGTGAATGTCCTGAGCTTTGAGCGGGTTGGTGGATATGGAGGATCCACCTATGGGAGTTGGAAACCCTGATTCCAAACCGATGGTGTACATGGGATCCAGGATCCTAAGGGAAAAAATGGCATATGAACCAATTATCAGTCATCGGTTACCATGTGACTGCATTTTCACTGCCCTGGGGATCAGACCTTTAGGTCGGGGGTTCCGGATGTGGCACCCCAAGAAAACTACCTGGTTCGGCTTGAGCACTCGGGCAGTATCACAACCCACACACAAATCAAGTGACTTGTGTGGCGCATATATATTTGGTGCCCCTTTGTACCAATATTTGTGTTCAAATAAATAAATAATAAATCAATACTACACTTATATGTTGCTGTAAATAAAAAATACACAATATCGCCGACTAAACTGAAATATGATCTCTTAATATATTATAAATTGAATGAAGTTGAAAATACGGGCCATTGGATTTTAACTCATCCTCACTATTGTATCTTGTCTACTAAGATAATGAAAAG